CCTTAGATTTTTTTTTCTTATTTAAATATTTCCCAAATGATGTTTAACAGAGCAATTACATTTTCACAGTATGTCTGATAATATCTATTTTTTTCTTATTTGCTTTATTTCGGCTAGAATAAAAGCAGTTTAAGCTATATTTAAGCTATATTTTTATTTATGTCTGTCAAATCAAATTGACCCACACATAAATGTTTTGCATAATTTCTTATTGCTATAAATATTTTGTAAAAGAATACATGCTATAATGTGTATAAATTAATATACAGTGCTCAGCATAATTGAGTACACCCCATTTTGAAAATGAATATGTTTATTAATTTCTTAGTGAATATAGGCAATGTGTTTGGGGATTCAGATTTATTAAACATATATTTATTAAAATAATATTTCAGTCACCAAACATTTATAGAAAATGAAAGATAATACAATTAGTTTCAAGCTAAATATTGCAAAAAAAAAAAAAAAAAATGACAACCTGCAAAATTACAACTGTTTTTCAATTTTTTGCTTCCTTTTGATTTTTCCTCTTTTTTAAATTTTGGGTTTAATATTTTTTTATAACATAAATTTGGCTGTACTCGTTTTTGGACCGTTATTGTAAGTTATTTTGAATATGCTCCAGATTTGGCTTTAGTATTGACTAATCTAATGTATATGCACAAATATAATATTGTATAGCTTCCCATTAAAAATATAAATTTATAAGATATATTTGTGAGAGGTGTACTCATATATGCTGAGCAATGTATACATACATTACTACCACTGACAAAAATGCTTTAAATCTTTGAATGTCCAAACATTATTCCTCTAGGTTGGAAAGAGATGCCAACTTTGCCCAAAAGAAGGCAGAGCGAGCCACAGTCAGGAGCCACTTCAGAGAAAAATACCGTCTTCCTAAAGTAAACCTCACATTTATAAAACACACCGTATGACCCATCCTAATCACATATTCCATTAACATTAACACTAACATTTACTATCTTTTTTATTACCAGAGTGAATTGGACGATACTCAAATTCAGGCTGCGGCTGATGACGTAGAGCTGCCCACTGAACTGGCCAAGATGATCGCTGAAGACAACCAAGAAGAAGAACACAAGCAGTCAGTCCTCGGCCAGATCACCAACATTCAGAACGTGGACATGGACCAGCTGAAAGAGAAGGCCCAGTCCACCCTCGAGGACCTGAAACAGACTGCCGAGAAGTGTGATGTCATGTAGGACACAAAAAACAAGGATCAGAGGTGATTTTAAGGGATTGTTCACCCAGAAATGAAATACACCCTCATAAAGAAGCCAACTGCTACAGATCAAAATTATGACTTACTAAGTCTGATTTCCAAGTCTCATAAATTTGACTTATTAAATAATAATTTCATTTTAATATACTATATTTTCCATATTTAATGTCGTATTTGTGACTGTTAAAGGTGACCTATTATGCCCCTTATTACAAGATTTAAAAAAAGTCTCTTATGTCCTTAGAGTGTGTAAGTTGTGTAAGTTTCAGCTCAAAATACATCACCCATAATGCTTTATAACACTTTGAATCTGCCCCTTTGAGGCTTTGATTTTAATTGTGTCATTTTGGTGACCGTTGCTTTAAATTCAAATGAGATTGTGTTCTTTTTAAAATAGGGCAAAGCTACAAATGCCTGTGTGTCAGCATAGTGGAAGATTCAAAATCAAGACTAACGTCCTATGCCAATGAGGGAGAGATAATCACTAATGGGCGGGGCATTCCCCCTCTGATGACACTTACAAAAGTAGAATGCCAATCATCGTGTTTCTGCAGACTGATTTCATCAAATTGTGATTATAAAAAAATATTGTCTTCCCTTCGATGTTAGTTTTATTCACAAAATGTTGCCACACAAATGTGTTTCAAGAGTTTACACTTAGATATACTTGGCGTTAATAGCAGATTTGGCATGCTGTCCCGGGAGAGAATACCGAGCTTGGAGAAAATTGATCCTAACTGTACGTTCAGACCTAAAGCGGCGAGAGCGTCGAAGCGATAAGCGAAGTGGAGCAGCATGGTGCGGCTTCATCGGTTTGGGCGTCGAGGAGAGTTGAAATCATATTTTTTTCTTTTTAATAAAGTGGGAATTTCATGTGACAACAAAACCAATGTTGCTGCTTCAGCATATTTCAGACATATTGGATAAGTGGAGCAAAACCAGACCACATGCAACTTGATCTTCCGTAGTTAAATGAATTTAAATACGAAATCAATGTAGTGAAATTTGACACTTTAGCCGCCGGAGCTGAAGGCAGACAGTGTTGTCGCCAGGGTGGCCAGAGCGACCTTTGACGCTCTCACTGCCTTCGGTGTGAACGCATAGTAAGGCTCCCGCCTGGTCAATAAGCATATAAAGAGGTTTCAAAAAAAGGAAGAAAAAGGAGGAGATGGGGTGGAAGGGGGGATTCTTCCGAAAACAAAGATAAAGCAGTAGGGTGAAATCGGTCTATTTATTGTAATTGTAAGCTTGGATCAATCTGATTGGATTATCACTGATTACAGATGAAAAGCCAGCTGTGACCAATCATATAATGTGCTCCTCAAAATAATTAGTCCTTATAAAAGGATTTTAGCATAATAGGTTTCCTTTAAAGTTGAAACAATAACTTACTAACTTGTATCTCATAATTATAGTTAGTAATTCATCATTTTAACTTTTAAGGTCTTAATTTTGATTTAAGTGTCACACTTCTTTTCTTAAAATTCAGAATTTTGATTTCTCTTTAGTATGTTATAATTCTGACATTTTATGACTAACTAACTTTATTATAACATATTAAACTGAAATAACAACATAAAAAGATTAAACTTTTATATAATTAAGTCAAAATTGTGATTGCAAAAGGGAAAATATGACTTACTAACTTGAAATGATAACTTTACAAATCTAGATCATGATCTAAATTCTGACTTAAAAAGCTGATTTATTTACTAACTTGGAATTATGACTTTACAAATCTAAATTGTTATCTAAATTATGACTTTAAAAGCTGAAATTATGCCTTGTCATAATTATCAGATTAAAAAGTCAAGATTTTTGGCATAATAATACGTAAAATTCATTTGTAAGGAACATCAGTTCTCGCTACTTTGTGCCATCATCTCATAACATTGAAGTCATAATTTAGGCATAATGTGAAATTAGTAATTCATAATTTTGACTTTACACCTGAAGTTCTTTGTTATTTAATGTATTTTTTATTTTATATAACATTGGTATCCATAGTAGGAAAACAAAATTTGTTTATAACATTCTTTGAAATATCTTCTTTTGTGTAAAGAATCTTCATTTTTTGGTGAATTACCCCTTTGAGGTAGAATGTGGGAATAAATCAGATCTGTCTGTCAGATGATTTGTAAAGTACTGTAAGTCTCTGGTTCATTAAAGACAAACTCCATCTCAAAGCCAAGCCATCAATTATCAAATAAATCTGAGGAGTGACTGTTGATATCACAAATAATGTTGACCATATTGTATACATTATATTACACGTTGTCATTATTCTAGCTAAAGGCAATATTTATATGTCACAGGTACCATGTTTTACATGTTGTCATTTAGTGTTCCAAATATGTTATATTTGTTAATGTTGCCTGTAAATCAGCCTGGAATTGTACAACATACAGTATTTGAGTCATTGCTTACATGTATAGTATATTTATTATTATTATGTATAAATTGCCTAATTGAAATAAATGTATTTATGTTTTTACAGTTTTATGTAATATTGATGCATTTACTTTCAGTAAATGTTCTGTAAACATTTCTTTTTTTTGTTGTTGCTTTTTAAATGCAACATCAAGCTTTTTAAAAATAGTATTTGTCATTTGTATTTCATTTTATTTATGTATAATATATCAGTCAGGGACACAAAAAATTTAAGTTTCATTCATTCATTTTCCTTCGGCTTAGTCTTTTTTATTCATCAGGGGTCTCCACAGCAGAATGAAGCGGCAACTTATCCAGTAAATGTTTTACACAGCATATGCCCTTGCAGCTGCAACCCAGTACTAAGGTACACACTCATTCACACACATGAAATGGATTATGGACAAACCCACGCAATCACGGGGAGAACATGCAAACTCCACACAGAAATGCCAACTGACCCAGCCGAGGCTCGGACCAGCAGCCTTTTTGCTGTGAGGCGACAGCGGTACCCACTGCACCGCCTAATTTACTAACTTGTATGTAATATTCATTGTTTGTCATAATTTTAACTTTTAAGGTCATCATTTTGACTAAAGTGTGTTAAACATTTTTCATCAAAATTCTGATTCAAGTTAAGTTGGTAGGTTATATTTTTGACTTTTTATTCGTGAATCTGCTTTAGTACATTATGATTATGACTTGTTATGTCATGATTATGACTTTTAAAGTCAGAATTATGACTTTACTAACTTTATTATGACATTAGATTGAAGTCATGAGATAAAATATGATTCTTTAAAAATCAAAGATGATAGAATCTGCATTTTTGGTGAACTATCCCTTTAGAGTAGAAAGTGGAAATAAATCAGATCAAAATGATTTGTACAGAAAGACTGACGAAAAAAGGCATCAAAAATAATTAAATCTGAAGTGACTGTCACAAATAATGTTGCCCTTATTTCCCAGTTTTAGGAAACACCCTCACATTCACACACATACACTAGGGCCAATTTAGTTAATCCAATTCACCTATATCGCTTTGTACTGTGGAAGAAATCCACGCCAACACGGGGAGACAGCGACCTTCTTGGTGTGAGCCACTGAGCCACCGTGTCGCCCCTCTCCTAAAGATAAAATTACAGTAGTATCTCACTTAAATAAATCCAGCGTCGTCTTATAAAACAGTCAATCTGGACCTGGGAACTACTCTACAAGGTCCATGTTGTCGAAGGCTCATTTTTCGGTAACGCAACTTTGGTGCATCAAGAAAAACATTCCGTTTTCATGTAATAAATGAAGTTCATGTAACAATAAATACACCACAACAAGCAGGACTGTCATCATTCACATTTCATAAACACGAGGAAAGCAGCGATGGACACCGAAGCGGATCTCTTTTATCGCCAGCTACCCAAAGTGGTAGGAAATGACATTAGATCAGATTTAATGACACTGCAGGGTTAAAAAGTTATCTTGATTACATTCAGAATTGCTAACATTATAATGCTAACGATACAAGTTTTTTTTATGACACGTAAATATATTTAAATTAAGTATTGTTGGGTTTAACATGCTCTAATTTGCAAACATGTGTAGCACTTGTTTAAATATTCTTAGATTCTTGTTATGATTTTTTTCTTTAAGGTATTAAAGAGAAATATTTTTACAGATGGATTTAGAAATATATTTTTATAGTTTCGTAAGCAAGAAAATACTGCAAAAAGCCAGGGAATAGCATCTTACATTTTTTTTGAGGAGTAAAACGTGGTATACAATTAGACAAACTATATTATGAACACAGATTATAGATATGAATAAAACAGTACAATTAGATCTATGTATTGCTCCTCACTTGGAAATTGTTTACAATACGCATTTTAAAATGTTTCAACATATATATATACATATATATATATATATATATATATATATATATATATATATATATATATATATAGCAGGAGTGTCCAAACCTGGTCCTGGAGGGCCGGTGTCCTGCTTAGTTTAGCTTTAACCTGCCAGAAAGTTTCTAGTACATCTAGTCAGAGCTTGATTAGCTTGTTCAGGTGTGTTTGATTGGGGTTGTAGCTAAACTCTCCAGGACACCGGCCCTCCAGGACCAGGTTTGGACACTCCTGCTGTATAATAAAGTAATTAAAAGACACAGTAAAGATCTGTAGGTCTTAAAAGTATGATTAGGGTATTTCGAAGTTTTCCCTGCGGTGAAAAAAGGCAAATATTGTGTATTGATGAACATATTGTACAAGTGTTAATGACATTAAACTTTTACTTCTCTTACAGGAGCTGCACGCGCATCTCAATGGTTCGGTGAGTTTTGAAACCATGGAGAAGCTGATAAAGCGAAAACCGCATCTAAACATCGAGCACAGCATGACGGCCATCCGCCGCGGACAGCGCCGCACACTGGACGAGTGAGTGACAAAAACAAACACAAGCCTGAACACTGCTTTACTGACAATGTTTTTTGACCACTACATTCCATGTCACTAGCGTGAAAAATGTGTCAAAATACACATAGTATGAATGTAAACCAGGGCTATCACGTCTGTCAAGTTTAAGTCATCATTTACTCACTACTCACCTTTTTTCCAATTGTGTTTGACTCAAAAGAACACAAAAGAAGATACTTAGAAGAAAGCTGGAGCCTGTAACAATTGACTTCCAATAACCAGAAAGGGAAATCTTTCCTTATGTTTGTTAGACCTTCAGAAAATAAACTTAAACATAACTTTTGTGTTCACCATTAAACCACACTAAGTAAGTCTCCTTTTAATTTTAGTGCCCTTTTAAATCCCTAAAGAGCTTTTGTGTAAATTCTGTACAAGAAATAATTTTTTTTTACATTCTGTAAAAAAACATAACAAAAAAAAATTGTAAAAAAAGGAAGAAACATTATAGCTCTGGAGATGAAGTTATTGTGTTCATGTGCCAATACATTTTTATAGATATCACAATATATTGTTATTGTAAATACAATAAAATAAAGTATAACAAAATTAACAACGCTGTCTGTAAAAATCGTCTGTTTTGCTTATGTTTATTTTAATATAAGTATTTTATTTTTGCTGATTACATGAACTGGTTCTTAAGGTTAGTGTGTTTTTCCAACAGGTGTTTTCAAGTGTTTAAAGTGATTCATCAGCTGGTTGATTCAGAAGAGGACATTCTAATGGTAAAGCAGTTTTTGCATAATTTTTCATTGTCTTCCACCTTTAAAAAAAAGGTAAAAAGTGAATTATTAATATTATTGTTATTATTAAACAGGTTGCAAAATCAGTCATTCAAGAGTTTGCGGCAGATGGAGTAAAATACTTGGAGTTGCGTAGCACACCACGAGAAGTGACTGAAACAGGTATTAGAGGACATTAACATCAAACTGTTATTAGCATTTCTGTTTCTTTTTGTTTACATTAATTTCTTCACAAAAAGGTCTCAGTAAACAAAGATACATTGAAACTGTGCTGGAAGCGATACGGCAATGTAAACAGGAGGGTGTTGACATTGATGTCAGGTAATTTTTTTCAGGTTTTTATACTATAGATTTTGTAGATGATGACTGTTTGTTGTCTTATGCTCAACTTCTGAATGTTTGAACAGGTTTCTGGTGGCTGTAGACCGCAGACATGGGCCTGAGGTTGCCATGCAAACAGTAAAGCTGGCAGAAGACTTTCTGCTGTCCAGTGATGGGACAGTAGTTGGACTTGACCTAAGTGGAGACCCAACCGTGAGTTCAGATTACTGTACACACAGAAAATAAGTCACAGTGCATTACTGAGAGCTAGTAGGACTCACTAGCAATCACACTGGTTTATTGTATCCTGGTACATGCTAGCAGGTTTAAGCGATATTACCAGCAATGTTTTAAACATGTTAGTATCATAATCAGTAGTTACACATTAATTTATGCTAGCATGGTTTTAGAATTAAGTAACAACATGTCAAATGTGCTACAACCATTTAAGCAACATCTTAATTCTTATTACTGATGAGTTCAAATGTGTTAGAAACTTGTTAGCAACATGTTAAAATATGCTAACCAGGCTAGCAACGTGTGAAACTTGCTAGCAACATTTTAAACACTATACAATATGCAAATTTAATATAGCAACAAGTTAAAACATTTTAGAATGTTTTAACATGTTACAATTATGTTACTAACATCCTCATATTAGTAACATGTTAAACATCCTAGAAGGATGGTAATTCATGCAGCAACAAAAAAGAAGCCTAAAACATAATAGCAACAAGTTAATACATTCTAGCATTGTGTTAAACATGTTAGCAACATGCCATATATAGTAGCAAAATAGAAAAATACTATTAGAACATACACAGCAACATGTTAAGCATGCTAGAAACGTATTAGCAACATGCTAATGTTATAACATGTTAACATATCAAATCAAATCACTTTTATTGTCCAATTATCAGCAGCACGTGTGCTATGATGAGTGAAAAGCTTAGATGCTGGCTCCAGTGCAAAATGCAACAATGTACAACAACATACTGCCAAAAAAACAGGACAATGTAAAATTGGCAATGTTGACAGCGATACGTACAATGAATAGGTGTACATGAATAGGTTTATAGCATGCTTTAACAATAAGTTAAAGCATGCTACAGACATGCTTGTGACATTCTGATTTGAGCTAGCAGCATGTTAAACATGTGAAAACGTGTCTTTAATGTGTTAATCATGCTAACAACATCTGAACAGTAGAAACATGTTCATACAAGGTAATATTGTGTTAGAACATGTTAGCAACATTCTTTCTTTCTTTCTCTCTACATGCTAAATTTCAATTTATGCATTACATATTGTCCAAATTAACTTACCTCTTAGGTTGAATTATAAAAAACAAAGTGGAATATAAGCAGCAGCACATTTTAGATGATAAAATAAGTAACTTCCGGAAAATAGTCCACAGTATACCCACTTGTTGTTTTGGGCTGCAGTGATTAATCTTCAGCCTGTGATCTTGCAGGTTGGTCATGGAAAAGATTTGCTCGCTGCACTTCAGAAAGCCAAGAATTTTGGTCTAAAGCTGGCACTACATCTTTCAGAGGTCAGAGCACATGGAGACATGTCTATACTGGAATTATGTGTTGTTAGGAAATCCGTTGGATTGTTGAAACCAGAGCTTTCGTGTTTTTCAGGTTCCTTCTCAGATAGATGAGACAGAGTTGTTGTTGAACCTGCCTCCTGACAGAATCGGCCATGGAACCTTCCTGCATCCTGATGTCGGCGGGTCAGACAGTCTTGTTGACAAAGTCTGCAAACAAAATATTCCCATTGGTAAAAAATTCCCATTGTATTATTGTTATTTTACTTCATTTGTTAACTTTTTTCATAGGTACAGTAGTTTATCAGATTTAAAACATTGCATACTTCAAAGGAACTTCAAAGAACTTTAAAGAACTATATAATTCCTAAATGTAGTGTTAACAACAAGCCAATTAAAGCCATCATACCAAAAACAGGCTAGAATGTGATATGTGATAATCGTGGACAATATGTAATCTCTGTCTAATGTAACATCTCATCCTTTCAATATCTACTGTCCTGTCATAATAACGGCAGAAATGCCAAAAATAAATCTTTAAAAAAACATGTTAGAAACATGTTAGCAACAAATGTTAGCTATGTTAATGTTAGCAAGATGTTAATGATATTAGTAGTGTGTTAAACCAAATAAATAGGGTTGTCACAATTCTAAAATCACATGCTTGACATTTGAACTAGTTATTTTTCTATTTTATTTGTCGCATATCGTGTCAACAGCATGTTAACATGTTAGCCATGTTTTAACATAAGTTATAAATGTTCAAATTCATGTAAACAACATGCTAATGTAGTGGAGGTTGGCTAGTGAAGTGTTGAGCAGGTAAACCTCACTTCTCTCACCTCTAAAAGGTGCTGTAGTGACAGATACTAGATGTCTTTAGCCTCCTTGATAGAGCAACCGACTCTCATGCAGAAAGTCGCCGGTTTGATCCCAGCTCAGAACGGGTTGGGTGCAGTAGGACCTAGGGCTGTGAAATTAATCGAAAATTCGATTTCGATTGCGATTTTGGCTTTTAACGATTATGAAAAACCATTAATCGAGATAAACGATTATTCCATCACGTACCGCCCCCTTTCCAGTTGTACACGTGTGAAAACTCTGCCTCTGCAAAGCTCAGCTCCACGTGAAAAGGCCTAAAAGCATGTGCTGTAATGTAACTTTTGCAGCACGGGATGCTCATCATTCATATTTTTAAAAGCGCAAAAGAGCACGTGCTGTTGTGTGTGTGCGCGCCGTGCTTAGCCTCTGACAGGTAGCGTTTGTGTGTTTGCGCGCGCCGCGCATGGCCTCGGACAGCAGAGCACACACACATCTAACGCGATCTTAATGTGAGCGCTTTAATGGTCAAATACATGCACGTTTGTGTCAGAGCGTGGTGTTTAGTGATTATTCATATTAACCCTCATTTGTGTAATAAACTAACAAGTTGAGAATCAAAAGACACGAGAAAGAGAAACCATATCATAGCCGCACTATTCTTAAAGTGACAGCGTGCGATATTCCTGCTGCTGCCGACTGTTTTTATTATTAATCAATAATAAAATCAAAAATACAGTGAAGATGCTTAAAGCGCAGTTTAAACATAACAGATTTAATAACTCATTTCTAATAACTGATTTCTTTTATCTTTGCTATGAATACAGTACATTTTATTTTACTAGATGTTTTTCAAAAAACTCAGCCTAAAGTGACCTTCAAAGGCTTAATTAGGGTAAATAGACAAGTCATTGTATAACAGTAGTTTCTTCTGCAGACAATCAAACATGTATATTGCTTAAAAGGGGCTAATAATATCGAGCTATTAAAATAGGTTTCAAAATATTCAAACCTGCTTTTATTCTAGCTGAAATAAAACAAATATGCCTTTCTCCAGAAGAAAAAAATATTATAGGAAATACTGTAAAAAAAAACCTCTGTTAAACATCATTTGGGAAATATTTATAAATAAAAATAAATTTACAGAAGGACGAATAATTTTGACTTCAACTGATAATCGTTTTGAATAATCGTGATTACAATTATGACCAAAATAATCGTGATTATGATTTTTCCCATAATCGAGCAGCCCAAGTAGGACCGGTGGGGTTTCAAAAATTCACGCTAGCAAAATGTTAGATATTAGAAAGCATGCTTGTAACAAATGCTATTTATGATAGCAAAAAAATGTTAGCTATGTCCCAGCTAGCAAAATTCATGTGGCTCAAATCCGCCCCACACCAGACACCTGCTTTCAGCTAGTCTATTGCACAGTCTATTTCAGTTCCTCAAAATAGCTACGCGCCAACAATGCACCTTAAACAAAGTGCTGCAAAATGGGAAAATTAAGGTTGCGCTGGTCTGAAAATAGCAACAAATCGCGCCAAACATGTCTCAACTAGTTTTCTATTGTAACTGTAAAGTGACAGACTTGAACTAAACATTAAAATAATATGTAAATTTATCTGTTATTGATTTTCAGAGATTTGTTTGACCTCTAATGTAAAAGGTCAAACCGTGCCTTCATATGACAAGCATCACTTCAAGTACTGGTATAATCGAAGACATCCGTGTGTTCTCTGCGTGAGTTCATTTCCCAAAATATTTTCAACACACTCACTTTTTAAATGATTTAAAACTGATCTAAAAAATGCTGTTAAATAATAAATAAGTGTTAAATAATAACTTTATGCTTGTTCCTCCAGACGGATGATAAGGGCGTCTTTTGCACGGATCTTTCTCAGGAGTATCAACTGGCCGCCTCCACCTTTGGTTTGACAAAAGAAGCTGTGTGGAGTCTTTCCCAGCAGGCCATTGGTTACACGTTCGCCCCTGAGCCAATCAAACAGCGACTGGAGAAGACATGGGCGGAGCTCAAACAGCAGATTCTCCAATGAGGAAAGAGCTGTAAAACTTCAACAGTCCTACCTCAGAAAGTCTGGTTTGTCAAACATTAAAACACATTGCTGCTGCAAATGCTAATTCTAAAAAAATATCACCACACTTTGTTAATATCTGAAATAATACACACCCTACATGTGCTGTGTAAAACAGAGATTTAAGGTTTTAAATGGAGTTGATATAAATATTTTAATATTTATCAGAGATTGTTGATGGTTTCTTGAATTTCAATATTGTTTATTAATATTGAATATTAATTGTAGGATGTTTAATGAATTTAGCAGCTTTTGTGTTTATAAAGAGTTGTTCCTCTTTAATAAATAATCAATATTTATCAAATAAAAAAAATCATATTTGCTTATTTTGTGGCATCAGTTTCATTGATCGGATGAGCATCAAACACTAAGATGAACTACAACGCATGGACGTTTCTATTTCTATACAGTGCATAATAATATTTAATAAGGCATAAGCACAGGACAGTTTGAGATTTTTACCTCATCAATTCAGAATACAGCTTAAAGAATATTATTAAGGAAACGGCATTTTTGATGCAATTATTTTCTTCCATTTTAAAACAACCAATGTCTGAATTTATATTTCAACTTTAGCTGTTGTAAAAAGAGTTTAGACTTTTTAATTAAAGTAATTAAAATCTAACATTAATTATATATTATTGAATGTGTCTGTATTATATTATTGGATATTTATGCAGTGATAATAAATGTTTGTTTAAATATTTTACAGTTAGAATGGATTATTATTCATTCATCTTTTGTTTTCCTTCAGCTTAGTCTCTTATTTATCTGAGGTTGCCACAGTGGATTGAACCGCCAACTAATCCAGCATATGTTTTATGCAGCAAATGCCCTTTCAGCTGCAACCCAGCACTGGGAAACACCCATACACTCTCACATTCTCACACACACACACACACACACACACACACACTCACACACTATGGCCAATTTAGTTTATTCCGTTCACCTGTAGTGCATGTCTTTGGACTTGTGGGGGAAACCTGAGCACCCGGAGGAAACCCATGCGTACTTGGGGACAACATGCAAACCTCAATACAGAAATGCCAACTGACCTAGCCGGGGCTCGAACCAGTGACCTTTTTGCTGTGAGGTGGCCACTATGCCACCCTGATAGATTTTTATGGTTTTTAAATGTACTTTTCTTAATATTATTTGTAATGATCTAACATATTTGCTATAGATTATTTTAGTATTCTTGAAGATTAATATTGGAATTTAATACAATAAAATGCACTTAAGTTTAAAATTAATTTTAAATTATTGAAAGTTTATTGATCTTTATTATTGCAATCTTTTTTAATCTGTCGCTAGAGCACCTTTAGAGGCCTGAGGTTTAACTGCATATCACTTCCCTAACTGGCCTCCATTACATGTATATAGTTATTTTTAACATTTTTATAGATTTCTTGAAGTAAGTTTCTTGAAAGTTTCTTGAATATTAACATTTTTCATAAATGTTGGATATCAAAACATTAGTATTTTTTTACAATTTAAAGATTATTTTGATATGATTTCATGAGATAAAAATCCATATTGGTTATTATTAATATAAGGATATCAATATTTTGCATTAATTTTCAAACATTTGCAACTGATTTATTATACACTCCTTGATTGCTTATAAATTACACAAAAACAATTAATACTCTAATATTCTTGAGAACTCATATATCTTTTTAATACTGGATATTACTTAATAATAAATTTACACAGTTTTTAGCACAAAATATTCATGTTGGACAAAAAAAGAGAAATAAAAAAGCAGTGGTTCTCAAAGTAGGGGTCGCTGGACAATGACAGGGGGTCGCTTTGTGATTTCCAAAAGTCTAATCAATTTTATTAAACTATTAGAATTGCCATATTTTATCCATAGCCCACAGAAGATAAAAATATTTTTTAACTGTTACATTTAAAAAGCAACAACATGCAATCAAAAAGCCATCAGACTATCAAATTATTTTCAATTATGTGTTTATGTTAGATTAAGAACACAGCATTAGTTTCCGATTTCAAAGCACCAGGTTATTTTTTTCTCACACCATTAAGGCAATCAAATACATTAAAATTAAATACAGGCCACAACTAAACATTGAGGATGATCACGGTGGCGGTCTCCAAAAATCACTTGTGCTGAAAACGTTGTGACCACCAGCAGGGACGTTGCTAAACGTTAATAATCGCCCATTCCCCAGTAAATGATTAAATGCAAACGAACCAACGCTGATGTAGTTGAGCATGTGCGCAAAAAAAACCAACCCCTGCTTTAAACCACCTTGTGTTCTACCACCAGAGGGCAGCAGTTCACTGTAAATGTGCAGCTCAACACAAACTGTAACGGCTGGAGAGAAGGTTTCAAAATTGTGCTTTCTGTCCTGAAAAATGATCCTAGTTGGATCACATTTCAACAGCTCACATTTCATTAATTGTCTGATTAGAGCAATCCTCGCACATCTTCTTTTCCATCTGGAGTCAGAAAAGAAAATGGGCAGAATAATAGAATCTGTTACAGGGCCAGATAGAATCTGCAGTCATTTCTGCAGCTTGGTAAAGTTGGTTAGGTTTGATATTTGCCGGACATTCACACGCAGTTTTCGGGATCATCTGCGAATAACATAGATGGACTGAAAACACGCAGTAACGCAAAAAAGAAAAAGTATTTCTAGAAGAATCCAGTATATGGTATGAGGCTAGACTGATTTACTACAAGTAACAAGGCTAAAGAACCTCTAGGTAAACACTTTACTATACGGTACATATAAAGCAGAAATAGGCAATATCTCTTACAGTCATAAGCAAACAGTAAACATCAGTTAAAGCGCTTGAATGATATTTTCTCACATTTCCCCCTTCATTTATGTATACATCACACAAATATATAGAAAAATATATTTACATTATTTTACTTAGATTTAAGCTTCTCAATCTAAAGTGTTCTCACATTCCTAGGGACTAAACTGACTTACTACTGGAAAGATTTTACCAATATTTCCATTAATATACAGTTGAAATCAAAATTATTAACCCCCCTTTGAATTAATTTTTCTCTTTTAAATATTTCCCAAATGATGTTTAACAGAGCAAGGACATTTTCACAGTCTGATTTTTTTTCTTCTGGAGAAAGTCTTATTTGTTTTAATTTTGCTAGAGTAAAAGCAGTTTTTCATTTTTTAATAAACATTTTAAGTTCAATATTATTAACCTCATTAAGCTATATATTTCAGCGATAGTCTACACAAATCATCATTATGGAATAACTTGCCTAAATAGCCTAACCGGCCTTGTTACCCTTAACCTAGTTAAGCCTTTAAATGTCAGTTTAAACTATAGAAGTATCTTAAAAAATATGTAGTAAAATATTTACTGTCATTATGGCAATGATAAAATATATCAGTTTATGAAATGTTATTAAAACTATTATGTCTAGAAATGTGTTCTCAAAAAAATCTCTCCGTTAAACAGAAATTGGGTAAAAAAATAAACAGGGAGGCTAATAATTCAGGTGGGCTAATAATTCTGACTTCAACTGTATATACAGTACATAAACACGATAGAAAAATATCAGACTGAAGCCAGTCTGACAGAAGGCCAGCCTGGCTTATTACAGGTGAGATTAATTTATATTTTTATTCATATAAATATTCAGTATGCAAATAATTTTCAAAAATCCTTACAATAAATCACCCTACTGTAATTTTATGACTTTAAAGGGTGTAGTACAATCGTATAGGCCAGACTGACTTACTACAGGTGAAATTTTTTCCATATTTTCATTCATATTTTTACTGTACACAGATATTTATGAAAATATTTACAATAATTTATCCTACTGTAATTTTATGATTTTAAAATGTGTAGCAAATTCACAGAAGCCAAGACGGACTTACTACAGAAGAGATTTTACCCATATTAATATTAATATTTTACAGTAAACAAATATTGAAGAAAAATAATTACAGTAAATCACCTTATTGTAATTGTATTATGTTAAAGAGTGTAGTACATTCACAGAGGCCAAACTGACTTACTAAAGGTGATATTTTACCCATATTTTCAGTCATATTTGTACAGTGCACAAATATTAAAGAAAAGTAATTACAGTAAATCACCCTGTGGTAATTTTATTATTTTAAAAGGTGTAAAGGTGCAAGAGTTTACCCATATTTTCATTTATATTTGTACAGTAAACAAATAATAAATTTTTTTTTACAGTAAATCACCCTACTGTAATTTTATGATTTTCAAGGGTGTAGTACATTTCAATAGGCCAGGCAGACTTACTACATTTAAGATTTATTCATATTTCGATTCATATAAATATGCAGTATGCAAAATTTTTTGAAGAATATTTACAGTAAACACCCTACAGTAATTTTACGATTTTAAAGGCATTCGCATAGGCCAGGCAGACTCACCACAGTTGACATTTCACCCATATTTTCATTCATATTTGTACAACAAACAAATAATTTTCAAATTTTTTTACTGTTAATCATCCCACTGTAATGTTATGATTTTAAATGGTGTAGTAAATTAGCATATGCCAGACTGACTTACTACAAATGAGATTTTACCCATATTTTCATTAATATTTTTACATTACACAAAAATTGAAGAAAAATGTTTACAGTAAACACCCCAGGACACTTTCAGGATTTTAAAGGGTGTAAAATAACCGTATAGGCCAGACTGACTTACTACAGGTGAGATTTTGTCCATATTTTCATTCATATTTTTCAGTGCAGAAATATTTTTGGAAAATATTTACAGTAAGTTACCCTACTGTAATTTTTTTATGTTAAAGGATGTAGCACATTCCCAAAGACCAGACAGACTTACTACACTTGAGATGTATTCAAGTTTCTTTTCATATACAGTATGCAAATATTGAAGAAAAATCATTACAGTAAATCACCCTACCATAATTTTACGATTTTAAAGGATGTAGTACATTCACAGAGGCCAAACTGACTTACAATAGGTAAGATTTTACCCATATTTTCATTCATATTTTTACAGTACACAAATAATTTTCTAAATTATTTGTGTACTGTAAAAATATGAATGAAACTTCCATTGAATTCTGTCTGTGGGCCCTATGTTTAGTTCAACATTAAAGGGACAGTTTTTCCCAAATTTGAAAATGTACTCACCATTTAGGGGGGAGTGGGGACATTTGCAACATTTTTTGCATTTTTTGTGGAAACCCCAAATTTGATACAATACAATACAATACAATAAAATACAATACAATAAACCCACGTCTATTGGGCACCCATTGAAATTGCTATATGTGTACATGATAATATATGCAGAATTTAAACTTG